GCCTTGGAGTTTAAGCACGTGAGAAGCCACTGCTCGATGGTACAGGTGCGGGAGGGAATTCTCTCGCAGTTCGAGCTGGAAGGAAATAGGTCGGCAGATGAATACGCAAAGTTCGGCGCTAGTTTCGGGGCTTCGTCTGAGAGCGACGTGTTGTTTCTCGAGGGCTGTTTGGACCTAGCGTCGCAAGCGTGCAAGGCCACGGCCAGGCTTGCCACTCGGTGTGTCAAAGAGAACATCGTAGACCATCAAGGGCTCGATGCGATTCGTTTAATTGATTTTGGCGCGGCTGATGTTCCTCCAGGATTATTGGTCGACCTGCCCGCCGCTCCCGAGGCCCCACGCCATGCCCCTGGTCCTCTTCCCTCTCCTCCTGCTGACCCGCTCCCTGCTGCTGCTGCTGCCGCTGCTGCTGCCAGGGTGGTGGTGGTGGAGGCTGAGAGGGAGAACGGTGGCGTGGAAGACGCGGATGATGAAGGTTACGGTCTCGGGCCTAGGCGCCCATGGCTGGTCAACCAACACTCGGTCCTAGAAGCAGGTGTCGCTGGGCAGGAGCCGATCCTTTTTTGCACGACGTGCTACAAGTTCGCTGTGCATCGTAAACAACGGGGCCTTTGCAGTCCCTGCCTTGGCCCTCGGCGGGTCACTGGCGGCTCGGCGTACACCGTCCGGAAGCGGCTGCGTGGGCGCATGCACCCCACGGAGGAGGGACTGGCTCTGGACGAGCCCCAGGTCCCTTCCACAGCCACTCGGGAACGCTGGCGAGATCATCTTGGAGCTGACGCGGAAGGGGCCGGTCGGCCCCCCAGCAGGCTCCCTGCGTTCTCGCAGCATAGGGCCGCTCCTCGGCTCGGCATGGAAGCCTGTTTGAAGGCGTTCGGGTTCGAGACTCGGGCCGAAGCTGAGGAGCTCGGGTTGAGGGCTGTCCAGGCCCGCGCTGAGGCCCAGGCTCGCAAATCCCGGGAAGAGTGCGAAGCTGAAGCTGGAGAGTTCGGCTAGCGCTGTGTGGGGGTGGGGTCGCCTTGTCGGGGGCCCTGCCAGAGGGATGGAACCTCTGGGGGGGCCTGACAAAAGCCTCCTTGGATAGGCGGACCCACCCCGTTTTTCCTCTCTCACCCCTGGACCTCTTTCCCTCTATGGGCAGTGAACATCCTCCTCCTCCTCCTCCTCCTCCTCCTCCTCCTCCTCCTCCTCCTCCTCATCCGCCTCCTCCTCCGCCTCCTCCTCCGCCTCCGCCTCCTCCTCCGCCTCCTCCTCCGCCTCCGCCGCCTCCTCCTCCTCCTCTTCCTCCTCCGCCTCCTCCGCCTCATCCGCCTCCGCCTCCGCCTCCGCCT